CGATGATCATATGTGATATCATTGGACCACTTACAGCCGGAGGACATCTTCATGATCTAGTGTCGCCGATCAATCACCACTACCGGTCACGATCACTCTCAAGGGAAGATGCAACAAACCAACATTACCGGTGGAACATGCTGCTCCGTGCTCTTCCATGGGTGGCGGATTTTGACAAGGCATCAGAAAAAGCAACCTTCACCAGTCACTCTGGTCTTCCTCCATAGAGTCGTCGTCGCCATCAGATCGCTCTACAACCCCCGACAACGACAGCCAACGTCACAACTTCTAGCTGCCGATCACCTGGAGCGGATGAGGCAATTGACGATTTGCCTACTTAATATCATTGACTTTCCTGATTATCTTCAAGTAACAACGCATTCGAGTCCTTTTACAATCAGCGACGTCTGTCGTTAAGACCATTTGCGATCCATTTTCTTCCTGATATGATTTTTTTATCTCCAAGAAGCACATAGAACCCCATCTACACATTTCGTTTCACATAAACGACAGAAAGAGCATTAGGTCATTGGCCCATATTTTACAAGTAGCACCCATAACACATTCCACGTGTCCCAGCTGAGGAAGTGTGTAGCTGATGAGACGACAATGGTTCCTTTAAAGGACATCCAGGTTGATGGAAGCCTGAATTACATTGAGATGCCGATAGCGATCTTAGATAGGAAGGTGAAGGTCTTAAGGAATAAAGATGTACCCCTGGTTCAGGTTCAGTGGCAACATCAGAAGGGATCTAAGTGGACATGGGAGCTGGAGTCTGAGATGCAGGAGCAGTACCCAGAGTTGTTTCCAGAGGATGACTTCGAGGGCGAAGTCTGATTCTAGTGGGGGAGAATTGTAACATCCTGAATCTCATGTATAATATTTAATTAATTTATGTTCATAATTTCATAGCAACTCGGCGAATTGGATGCCCCAACTCGCCAGTAGAGGAGTTAACGGTCGCGTGATTTTTAGAGTCTACTCGATGAGTTGGAGGACACCAACTCGGTGAGTAGGTGTTGAGTGATAAAACCCTAATTTTTAGGTTTTGTGTCTTATTTAAAGGACCTTAAGCCTTCATTTCCGCCTCCCTTATCACCTTAACACTCTGTGAGAAACCCTAATCGAGCTGTAACCTTGTGTGAGAGAAAGAGAGGATAATATCGTGTGTTTTAGTGCATCTTTGGAGGAAATTCAAGGAGCAAGAGGCTTAAGACGAGAAGGAGCTTCTGGATCCAGTGTTCATTCATTCTTAGCTCTTGCTTGAAGGTAAAAAGTCACCACCTTGCTCATTGTTTGGTTAGATCTCGTTTCTAAGGAGTTTAGAGCCTTTTTCCATCTTTCCTTGAGTTCTAAAGTGTTTTGAGCTTTCCAAGGAGATGAGACTTCAGATCTGGACCAAATGAGATCCCTTGAGCCCAAAAGGTCCAAGCTTTATCAAGCTAGTGGCAAGTTTTGATGCATCCAACCCTATATAGAGCTTATGTTGGCATTTCGACCTAGATGCCATGCATGGACGTAAAGCTTGCAAGTTATATGTTATTTCCGCCTTGGGAGGCTAGATCTAGAGTTTGGGACTTTATTTCTGCTTAGAATCGTCTGAATGAGAAATTGTCTAGGGGAACTCAGCGAGTGCATGAGACAATTCAACGAGTTAGCTAGGGTTTACCCCAATAAGACTGGACGTGCTATAACTTGGCAAGTTGATGAGACAACTCGATGAGCTGAGTTGGATTTCCCCGATACTTCTGAGAAAAATGAAGGAACTCAACGAGTCGTGTAGAGGCACTCGACGGGTTTAGTCAACTTAGATTGTTGACTTGAGTGTTGACTTTCTTGACTTTTAGGGTTTTGTCAGCTGTGGACTTTCGAGGCCATGGAGGGGTAAAATGGTGTTTTCACCCTTTTGAGATTTAGTGGAGGAGTTATCTTAGCATCGTGGAGTGGTTATTACAAATTGCTTATTAGATAATTATATTATGTAGGCGGAGTCTAGACCGTTCGAAGGGTGCTAGGTCTACATGCTTACTTTCCGAGGTGAGTCTTCTCACTATACTTACTTGAATGGTAATATTGTGTGACTGGAGGGTCTTGTACGCTTATACTGAGTTATATGATATCATGCATCATGTCTTTGTGATTTATGTTGTATATTATTCTGAGCTTTATTGAGTTAAGGACCTGAGGGTCCAACCCGAGTTGTGGGACCGGAGGGTCCCCACTGAGACACATTGACCAGAGGGTCTTTATCAAGATATAGTTATGAGAGGCTAATGATATGCGTGCGGTATTTTGGGGAACTCACTAAGCTTTGTGCTTACTGCTGTGATATGTGTTTCAGGTACTTTTCAGAATCACGGGAATGCGCCGGCTTGATTGTACACACGAGATGGAGTTTATGTTTTAGAGGATCCTGGATTATTATCAAACAATTATTGATTTGTGTTTTGTGATAATTTAAACAATTGTGGTTTTTCAAAAGTGATAATTGGAATTATGTGATTTTGAAAATGAAAATTTTTAGTTGAAAATTTACAGTGTTACAGCTAATAACATATAGGCTAACATTGATTTGTTGCATTTTTCTAGAAATACAATTGTTTCCTTCCTTTACCTTGTCCTTTTGAGTCTTTTCCAGCATTGTTGAATATAAATTACAAGTTGAAACTTCACCAACTTTGTAACCTTATGATTTGATATTTAAACAAACAAGTAAGTTTAAATCTAGGGTACTTACATTTACAATTATACATTTTCCTAATCTTCATGGTTAATTCGATTTTTGTTTTTAGGGTCAACAACCACCGATAGAATGCATAAGAATGCATGGAGCTATATTGTTGATAGCTTGTAGCATTGGTTTTTTGGTGTGAGCAACAAAAAATGTTTGAAAAAATAGTCACATTAAAGATGTTTACACTGGTATACTCTTACCACATGTAACAACTTTAGTTCCCAAATTTAGGAACACGTGTTCTTTTAGTGTAATTAGAATTTATATGAGTTCCAAAAAGGATCAAATTATTATATAGTGTAATCTTTTGGTAGTGCATAGTGTACAGTTGTATAAAACGAGTGCCATCCCAAACATGATGAAAGGCATGGGTCAAAGGGAAAAGCCCCTTGATGTAGTTTTGAGATAGAAATATAGTGGAAAAAACTCTTTCAGATGTAGCGCATTATTGTAGAATGAATGCATATTACTTAGGAAATTTTTACCTAAGTCTTAGTAAATTATGGTCTCTTTATGATCTTATCCAAGGCATATGTAATAAATCAATTGTTGACAACATTTCCTGAGAACAAGCCACCTCATCAAAATGTATTGGGTAAGGAAATTTTGTATGCCCGCTTTCCCCAACTTCTTAGACTTTGATTGCCTTATGTATGCACATGACAATTTTTACAAATAAGATAAATTTGGAGAAAATAAGAGATTATGTATGTTCATAGGTTGCCTTGTGTAACAAAAGAGGTACAAACTCAATGATTTGAAAAGCCAACAAACAAGTAGCAATTTTACCTTTTTATATATAAATTTCCTTTAGGTGATTGGTATGAAGGTCATCGAACCATTACAAATGGACACTTAGTGGATTCTTTGCCATGGTTCAATATATTTGTGAAAACTATGAGGATGAAACCCAAGCAAACCAAGATAATAGGTTTCCAAACTAAAAACATCCCACAAAGACCTAATATGGGCCTAATGTATTTTCTACTAAATTTTCAAAAACTTATTGTGCTTTTCTAATAGCCATCATGACTATATATGAGCCTAAAAGTTGGCATGAGGCAATAAGCAAAGAAATCTAAGTTCTTGAAGAAAATGGAACTTGGAACATAATGGCAATGCCACTTGTAAGAAAGCAATAGAGTCAAACTGGGTTTATAAAATCAAATATAAACCATTTTTTTAGGTTGAGAATATTTTCCATTTCATATAAATTAGTTATCACAATACAAATAGTGAGAAGGCAAACGGGCAACAAGTTGTGCTGCTAAACCTTTTTGTATGATAAACCAATTCTTTTAAAGACTACATGTATAGATATAGGGGATATAACATTGCTATGCATGATCCGTTGTACTCTATTAAGAAGCTCCACCGCATCCGGTGCGAGGAAGCCAAACATATCAAACGTGAATGGTATGAACACATGTTGATTTTCCAAGCACGATTTCTCGTATTTTGTGACTTTGCATGTGGCAACTTTTAAAGCAACATGACCCACCTTGAAACCCCTAGCCCTCAAGCCTACAAGAGGGGATACCTCTGTAAGGTCCACACAAGCATGTTTCCCTCCAACCCATCTAAAAACCAAAACATTAGGTGGTCTTAGGGTTGCATTCCTTCTGTTGAGTCAGTCAAGAAATTCGCAAGTGCTTATTTCTTGACAGAACCATGACACACTTAAATATGTCAATAAAACATTTCTAACCATATTGTTCTGGTATTTGAACCCCATAAGTTCTTTATAATGAACCGCATTCTCTCCAAAAGAGTCCAAACATGCCTTGTGGCACACCAGACACATCTCGTCAGCTAGAAATATAGGAATCATTAGCCGATATTTTAGGATGGTGTGATACTCCAAAGGAGACATATGTTGGCCAAACCCATCTATAGGGATAGCTAGAAGAAAATATTGAGCATGTGGTGCTCGTAAACACTCGAAAATTGTTTTTTGCTAAACCGCATGTCAAAATGCATTTTCATATCTTCAACAATTTTAATAAAAAGAACACCCGCCGGTATATTTTGGAATTTAGGGCTATATGCAAGTTGAACGTGTAGGTTTTCATTAGACCTTTGCCTATGTAGCTAAATTGGGGGAAACACTTGAAGAAAATGGAACTTGGAACATAATGGTTATGTCACTGGTAAGAAAGTAATAAAGTAATAAAGTCAAACCGTAAATATAAACCAAATGAAAAAAGTAGAACGATCTAAGGCTATACGCAAGTTGAAGGTGTAGATTTTCATTAGACCTTTGCCCATGGGCCATGTAGCTACATTTCATGCTCTTCGATACCTTAAAACTACATCGGGACAATGCTTATTTCTACCATCAAGTGGAAGCTTTGATCTTATGGCATATTGTGATGCAAGTTGGCTTGAGTCATTCAACTACCTGACTATCATGCACATGTTGTTTATTAGCCTTGTGGTGCACCAGTTTCGTAGAGAACCAAGAGAAAAAGTGTTGCGTTATGATCTTCAACTTAAGTCTAATATAGAGCATTGGAAACTACACTTTTCGAAGTTATCGTTGAGCTGGCTAGACTTAGATTCCAAGCAATCAAATGCCACTCCATTAATGTGGGACAATGAAGTTGCACTCCACATTGCAATGAACCTAGTCTATCATGAAAGAACAAAACCATCGATGTATGATGGTAATAAGTTCGTTTATCGAAAATTGATATTTCTACATATATTTTTTTTACAAATAATTTGCTCTATTTAAATAAAGAGCATGCTTAGTTTTGGTCCACCGACCTCGAAATTGAATGATTTAAATAGACCATGAATCAAAATTTTTGAGAAAAAAACGGATAAATTACAAAGAAGTAACTAACGACCACCATCTTTGCTACAACTACTCCCAACCCCACACGTAGACTATTACCTTGCAATTCCAAATCTATCAAAACCATCATCACGGATAATTGTACAGTATGCATAAGATATATATGCAAGATTTAAGAAAAGTAGGGCCAAGATCACCTAAAGAGTTTCGGATTATCGCATGTATTGAAGGAAACAAAAAGATTCTTTTACAAGGTAAAATCAAAAGCCATACCCATGATCCATGGGGGTTGGCTTTTGATATAAGCAATCAGCAAATCCTTAATTTTTGAGACCTAATCCCCAACGATCATTGCCTCTTGTTATCTCGTAAATCAACAAAAACAAGAGACGTTTACAAAGTTCATCGATATTTGTTTGATTACCCTTCGTTTTCTTTCTCTTCTACGACCTACATTAATTCATCTTCATCGACGCAACCAGGTACATTATTTCTAACGCCTACCATATATCTGGTTTTCGTCATTAATGGTGAAAATGTGTTTGATTTCCTTATTGGGTACCTCATGTTTTCTCATCAGCATATCGGTTTTCCTGGTTTCTGCTTCAATTCATAACACAATAATCAATGAATGAGAACAACATGAATCCACTAACGGCGGTTGAACCCACCAACAACAGTTTAAAAGAAGCACTTTGTGCTCAACAACGCCTCCTCCAAAAACTTTACAATGAATTGGATGTTGAAAGAGAAGCTGCTGCTACCGCAGCCAGTGAAGCATTATCCATGATACTTCGTCTTCAAGGAGAAAAAGCCGCTGTAAAAATGGAAGCCGAACAATACAAAAGGTTAGCAGAGGAGAAAATGAATCATGCCGAGGAATCTTTCCAGGTATTTGAAGAAATCATGTACCATAAAGAAATGGAAATCGCTTCTTTAGATTACCAAGTTCAAGCCTATCGTTACAAGCTAGTAAGCTTAGGAATCGATGATCTTGGAGCCAACGAATTCAAATTCCCTGAGAATTTATTACAACGAAATGAAACCCTAGTTGGGGAAACAAGCTCAGATGTTCATGGTATCACCAAAAAGAACACTCCACCTCCAAAACGTTTAAAGTTATCAAATTTGAAAAAGGGTACTGCTACTCTTAAAAGGGATAGATCGATACAAGAAGATTCTGATACGATTGCAAAAATAGTGGAAGAAAGTTCACGTGAACGTGAAGATGAAAATAATCAAGCTTTTGAATTTGGTTTGAAGACCGAAGGTTCTACATCTGTCGATATCAATTCGTATTTGGAACAAATACGAAAATTAGATAAATTAGTAGAAGAAATGGCGGGAGAGCAGAACTTTTGTACATTTGCTAAAACTTCAAGATCTTCATCAGTTCGTTCTAAACTTAACGAATTAGATCGAACACAAAGTGCAATGAATTTCCAAAAGTGGACAGATGAAAAACTATCTTCCAATACATGTTCGACAAGTGTCCATGATGTCTTTGAAGTTCCTCAGATTAAGGGATATGAAAAACCATATGAGAAAGACGAAGAGAAATCGATTAAAGATGATGAAAAAAGTAAAAAGTTGGTTGCTTTTCATATAGAACCTGTAAAATCATATGAAAAGGAAGAATTTTTTTCAGGGAAAAAGCCTTTACTTCCGAAACATAAAGACAAAAAGGTGTTTTTGCCTGGAGATGGTATTAATGTTGACTGCCATATGGCGCTATTTCGGCATGCCACGTGTGCTGCTGAGATTGCTGAGATAGCTGAGGCGGCTGAGGCTGAAACTGAAAATGAAACCGCAGAGCAAAATGTAAGACAAGAGGGACAAGAATTGAGATTGTTGTATGAGATTCGTGACAAATTAAATTCAATACAATCGGATATTAGAAGCAAAAACACAAAAGTCAACAAGTCTTCTCCAAATTGCGACTTACCTATGCTTCAACTTAGAGAGGTATGTAATCACTTTTCTCATATGAATAGAAAGCAAGAATTTAAAGCCCTTTATAAAACATTGTCGCTTATGAATTTATAAAACACTAAATGGTTCAGTTTTATCAAACAACCTAATTAATAAAAAGTTTCATCACATTATACGCCTTAAGTTGTGCGCTCTTTTATATGATCATGGATAATGAACGGTTGTTGATATTTGTGGACACAGGCAATGATGCATTTCTGGTTTTGACCACTTTCCTCAAGCTCAACGAATGGCTACTTACAACATAAGTTACCAAGTAAGAGAATACTTGTTGTTTACTGCAACTTTTGACATGTCATGAAAACGGTATCTTCGCCAACTAGACACAAAAGTCAAGGAACCTCCTGTGTTGACCTCTTTTAACACAAGGATTGTAAGTTGTTCTAGTGACTTGTATACAATTATAGTGATGTATTTAGTATAAGTTTCATACACTTGTATATAATCATGCTGATTTGTCAAACTTATTGTTGCTTGCAGATTATATTAATATTTTCATTGTGTTTGTTACGATATAGTTTCTTATTACAACATTTTTGGTTTGAGGATGAAGTTTACGATAATTTACAATGAAATTCACAATCGTTGGTGGCTTTTGAATTGATGTTAAATCTAATGTGAAAATTCATTGTGAGCCATATTTAAGTGACTTTTAACTTGGTGTTACACTTGATATCGCAGGACCTCATTGTTATTTATTGTGAATCAATTTTGAATCACATTATGGTATCATAAGTGACTTTTTACTTAGGCTTTGTTTGCCATGCGTTGGCTGAAAAAATAGTTTGACATGCATTGTCTAAAAAATAGTTTTTAGCTTATAAACTAGCTTATAATTTAGTTTATAACTTAAGATAAGTTATTTTTGTGGTCTCATCAAACACCAATTGCAATAAGCTCAAAAAATAATATACATTATCCGCATAAAACAAAGTCTTGGTGCTAGAACTAATAGGAAAATCATTTCTGGACCATCATAATTTATCGCTAACCATCATTTATGGAATGGTTAACTTGGTATTTATAAGTTTAATCCATTTAAATAAATTGTGTTGTATGATAGAGCAAACTAGATAGACGGTGAAACGCCAACGAAAGGGTGAATGTGAAATAAGGTTATCATGAAAGGGTGAGGGTGAAGCGGAATCAATTTCTTTCACTACTAGAAACTTGAGTTTTAGCTACGGATTTAGAGAGGGATTTATTCCGTAGCAAAATTTTGGCTTATAGAGACGGAATTACGAGAGATCTACGATGGTTTAAACAAGTATTTTATTTATTCAACATATAGCGTATTAGAGAGGGTTTAGCGAGGGATAAGTTACGGATCTTACAAGTCTTTATCGAGGCGCCATTATTCGTCGGTAATCGGTGGAAAATGAAGGCATTTGGCGAGGGTTCAACAAGGGAAAAAAAATCGTTGACTTTTTATCCATCTTGTATGTATGTAGCGAGAGAATGCCGACGGAGCATACACACATTATGTTTTTTTAATTGAAGATCTCTCGCTGAAATTGACGAATCCAATTCCAGTTTCACGAAGTTTGTGTAAGTCTCCTTCCCTCCCAAATCTGCTTTATCACTCCAATTGAACACGAAGTTTGACTCTCGAGTTGCAGCTTAACCGAATCTCACCATCTCCGTTCAAACAGATGACGACACCATGGACCATTGCAGCTTCCGATTCCGACAGCCTCCACATTTTTGAAATCTAAAATTATTCTTCCTTAACTTCCGATTCAGGTAATCCTCTTGATTTTATTTGCTTTAGTCATATATTAGGTTAGGTTTGGTTCAATTGCACAATATATTACGTTAGGGTTTAATTTCTCCATTTTTTTTTTACTTTTTCAATCGTCATTCCTCTTATATCGATTGTATCTATATTAGAATAGATACTTAGAATTAGAACTTGATATAGTGCTTGATTGGTTGCTTTAGTCCTATATAAGCCTGGTAGCATAAGTTTTGTGCATCAAAGCTTCACCCTGAAGCTCTCCTGTCATCTCTGTACATGCATCCACATGCGCTGCAACAAGCCCAACAACACCAGTTTCATAGGCAATCATAGTAAACTGATAAATCCTCCAATCCGTGTTAGCTGTTTTCACCTGTGTAATATGCCTAAATGCAAGTCAAAATAAGTTTACTGATCAAGTAAAAAAACATTATATATAATGCCCTAAAGTGATCAAGGTCTATGGGATTTTGAAATAGTGGTGGAGACAAATTCTTATTACTAGTATGTCCATGGAGAACTTTTTTTAAGGTGGGACACCTAGGATCCCTGTCACAAGATCAAACAGGCTGTCAATAGTAAGCTGTCACTATTGTTCTCTGATAGCTCCTAGACTACTCCTGAACCAATTAAATGAGAAGAACTCCAAAACAAATCAATGGAACAGTGACAAATGAATGAAAAACATTGAATATTCAAATAGATAGCCCCATATTCGAGAGAGGGGAATTCTCCATGTTCTAGAAGAACTTTACAATGATTTTCTGCCTACTCAAAAGGAATAAATGACCATCTATAAATAATCACTAACAGAGGGAACAAACAAAAGATCCTTCATGACAAAAGGATATTGCTCCCCCATTCAAAAAGCTAAACGCACAGAGATAATGGCACGAACAACTAACTAACTAATAAAAAGACAGAATTACCCTCCTGCTCCCCACTAACAAACAAAATCATTTCTTTGGGTATTCTTCCGTTTGTTCCTTTGGTAAACTTTCAAGGGTTGGGTGTTATCATTCTCATGGCTTTATTGTGTTATGTGGAGACTTTGTAACGAGGTTGAATTGAAGAAAAAAAAAAGATAAATATAAAAGAAAGAAAGATGATAGTTAAATGTATGAGAGGTAAAAATGTAAAACATACAGCAGGGGTTTTTGACATTCTTTGAAAATGGGGAAGACTTCTATCTATGAATCTGTTTGGAGCTCATTGACCTCCTACTGATTTGTTGACCAACACATGCAATCATTTGACTTATGTTGATTGTTTGGAAAAGAAATTAATTCTATTGAATTTGTTGTTCATAGAGTTATGGAAGATATTAGATTGAAGTTATTTAGTCTTAAATTTGGTTATTTTGGGCTGAATATAGAGATTTGTAAAAGTTGGAACATCCCAATCAAAAATGTCAATGGTTCTAATGGGGATTGATTTGAATTGTTTTTTTGGTTAAAAGGAAGTGCTGGCAGGTTTGCTGTCGTGGTTTCAGGTTGATGAGAATAAGGATGGATTATAATAAATGTGTTGTTTTGAGCAATTGGCTTAAAGGGTATTTTTGTCAATTTTGGAAATAAGAAATTTAGAAGAAGGTATCGTGAGTTGCAATTTCAAAAGTATCTATTTTTCTTTGATCTTTTTGGATTCTTGGTGGGATAATATTTTGAAGAATAGAGATTGCTGGATGCGAATTCAAGAACAGGGTCTGATTGTGATTTTTTTTGGATAATGAGGAGGATTGGATTTTTTTATCTCAGGCCTGCTATCGCAGGATCATATGGAGGGAGGGATACTTGCGATTTGGAGATTTTTATTACTGGGATGGGAGAATTTTGGGTCAGGGGCATATTGGGTATATCCTAATTTTTGGTGAGTTTCGTTTCTGGTTGGAAGAGATTGCTGGTCGGTGTAGGGTGAATAGTACTTGGGATCTTTCTTTTAATGGAAGTTTAAGTGGTGAGGGCATTTTGGGAATTTCTTTTTTCCTCAATGAATTTTCGGGCTCGAGCGATCTGATTGTTGGTTGGATTGTTGTGCATATTAATTGCTTCCCTGTATTCGATTTCCTTTTCATATATTCTTCTGGGTTTTTTTATTATCGGAAATGGTGGGAGTTCTTTTTTTACTGTTCTGAGAAGAAAGGTGTTTTAATCAATTTTTTATTATGGTGGTTTGGACCTGTGATTGGCATTTGAAGATTGATGTTGGGATTGAGAGGCATATTTGGTATTTTTTTGATCCTTTGGATGGTGAACATGAGGTGAATAATGTTGAACACGACTCTTTGTGTGGGAAACAACAAGACTTTTATTATGACACTTAAGAAGAACTTACACTTTGTGAGACTACTACACGCTTTGCTTTCTTTGAGGCTTTCTTGGATGGTTTGGAGCAAATGAGCTCCATACCTATTTATAGGCCTCTTAGGATGGTTCTAGATACTAGCATACACTTACTACATACTAGATAACTCTAGAACTATCTAACATACTCTACATCCTTCCATATGTTTCTAGAACGTTCTACCATGTTCTGGAGAAGTCTAGGTTGCTCCAGTGTCTTCTAGAATGATCCATAACCTTCCAGGGTCTTCCATGTCGTTCTAGAGTATTCTAGACTCTTCCGGTATATTCCAGAGTCTTCCATAGTCTTCCATAATGTTCTAGAATCTTCTAGAGCATTCTAGAACAAGCTAAAGTCTTCTAAATAATATTTGTTTTATTGGGCTAGTGATGATCTTTAACACTCCCCCTCAATCACTAGCCCTCATTCTTCGTACCATGTTAAGCTGACAGCGAAAACCTTCACATTTTCCAGTACTCAGCCCTTTGGTGAACAAGTCTGCTATTTGGTCATCGGTCTTGATCTGTCGCATCTCAATTTCTTCCATCAAGACTTTCTCTCTGATAAAGTGATAATGCACTTCCACATGCTTTGTTCTAGCATGAAATACTGGATTTTCTGCCAGCCGAATTGCAGATTGGTTGTCACAGTGAAGTGGTACTGCATAGTCAACTTTTTGATGTAAGTCCTCCATTAGGAGTACCAACCATGTACTTTCTTGAGCTGCTACGGCCGCTGCTTTGTACTCCGCTTCCGTGGTTGACAATGATACTGTTGGTTGTCTTTTACTACACCATGATATTGGTCCCGACCCAAGCTTGAACACATACCCAGTGGTTGATCTTCGGGTATCATGGTCTCCTGCATAGTCAGCATCACAATATCCAACCAACTTGCAGTCTTCTCCTCTTTTATACAAGAGACCATAGTCAATTGTACCTTTGACATATCTCAAGATCCGTCGGGCAGCATCCAAATGAGGTTTCTTCGGACTTTGCATGTATCGACTCATAACTCCAACTGCATAAGCAATGTCAGGCCGAGATAAAGTTAGGTAGATAAGACTACCTACTAGTTGTCGATACATCGTTCCATCGTCCAACTCTTTTCCTTCATGAGCACATATCTTGGCATTTGGCTCTATTGGTGTTGATATTGGCTTACACTCCAACATGCCAAACTTTTGAAGTATATCTCTTGTATACTTTTGTTGGCAGAGGAACAACCTTCCTTTGTACGATCAACTTCTAACCCCAAGAAGTGTTTAAGCTCCCCCAGCTCTTTCATTTGGAATCGCACCGATAGATTTTCTCTTGTTTGATGGATTTCTCTTTCGTCATCTCCGGTGATGATCAAGTCATCCACATAAACCAACACAATTGCCAACTTCCCTTCTTTTTCTTTGACGAACAGGCTTGAGTCTTCATGTGCAACTGAATAATCACTTCGGGTAAGAAATTCAGCAATCTTACCATACCAGGCTCTTGGTGCCTGCTTCAATCCGTAAAGAG